TATTGGAGGACGGCACGAGTGCTCAACCAACGGCAAGTGAGATGGGCCCAGGAGTTCTCCAAATTTAACTTTGAGATTAGTTACGTGCCAGGCCCAGAGAACATTAGGGCGGACGCCTCTCACGCAAACCTGAATATTTGGAGGGGGGGGGGCACCCGAAGAGAGACATGTCATTCCAGAAAACCGCTGGGTGTGTGGGGCGGCATTGGTGGGACAAAGAGAACTGGTAGAGGAAACAGAGAATGATGAATACGCCCAGAATAAGCTCAGAGGTCTTAGGGGTGATGGAGAGGAACCAGGGGGTTCGAGGAAAGAAATGGAGCTTTGTATTACAAAGGGGCACTGTATATCCCTGAAGGAGAGTTAAGGGGGAGGGTACTCAAGCAGTTGCACGACAGCCCTACGGCGGGGCATTTTGGTGGCCTAAGGTGAGGGAAGATGTACGTGAGTATGTAAGAGGGTGCGAGCAATGCCAGCGAGCCAAAGGGGAAAGGCGGGCGCCGGCGGGGCTATTAGAACCCTTACCAACCCCAGAACGACCTTGGGAGGCAGTGTCGATAGATTTTATGACTGATCTGCCGAAGTCCAAAGGGAAAACAGCCATCATGGTGGTGGTAGACCTACTAACAAAGATGTGCCACTTTGTAGCTTGCTCGCATGCAGTCACGGCGGAAGAGACAGCGAAGTTATTTGTAGAAAACATTTTTAGGTTGCACGGGGTGCCATTGAGGGTGGTCTCAGACCGAGGAAAACAATTTACTTCCAGGTTCTGGAGGAAGCTCATGAGCTTACTGCAGGTGGAGGTCAATTTTTCGACTGCCCGGCACCCTGAAACCAACGGGCAGGCGGAAAGAGCAAACGGTGTCCTCCAGCAATACCTGAGGTGTTATGTCAATGACAGAGAGAATGACTGGGTAGAAAAGTTGGCGCTGGCGGAATTTGCCTACAACAATGCCGAGAATGTGTCCACAGGGATGAGCCCCTTCTTGGCTAATTATGGGTGTCATCCCAGGGCTTTCCCAGGGGAGAGGGGGAGAGATGGAGCGTCCCGGCAGCCGAACATTTTGTGGAAGAAATGGAAGCAATCCATCGTCAGCTCCAACTCAACTTAGAAAGGGCGAAGGAAGAATACAAGAGGCAGGCAGACAAGAACCGAAGGGAAGGTGAAACCATAAGGGTGGGAGATAGGGTGTGGCTGTCAACCCAAGGGTTGCCGTTCAAAGGAGGTTGTAAGAAATTAAGACCCAGGAGGTTGGGTCCCTTTGAGGTCATTCAACAGGTCAACCCAGTGGCTTTCAGGCTCCGGTTACCCAACCACATGAAACTGCACCCAGTATTTCACAGGTCGTTACTGTCACCGTACGAAGGGGGACGAGAAGGGCTGGCCACTCGGGACCGGTCGTAGAAGAAAGAGAATGCAGCAGCCATGTGGCTGAAATCCTCGACGCCAGGTGGAAGGGGGATCAGGTGGAGTATTTGGTAGCGTGGGAAGGAGAACCGGAGTCAGAAAACACTTGGGTAATGGCTGAAGATATCAATGACGAGGTATTGATAGAAACGTTCCATCAAAGGTTCCCAAGGAAACCTCAGCCTGTGGAGAGGTTCCGGAGGGAATACTTTGGGACCACTGATGAAGGGGAGGAGTTGGAAGGATTCCCGGACTCGGAAGGGGAAGGGGAGATAGACTCTGAGGAGGAGGTGTACTTCGAGACCAGGAACCGCAACAGGTTGAGAGAAGTGTTCGAGACATCGGAAGATGAAGGAAGTTCATTCCGGGTTTTGCCTCCTCACCGCCCGTAGAGGAGGGGGCGAGAGGGGGTGAAGGGGGCCCTGGAGGGGAGGTGGATGTCAGGGAACTGCCATCGGACGGAAGGGAGGTGAAAGGGCTCACACAGGTTGGGAGAGACGCAGCAGCTGAAGAGGGAACCAACAGGGAGGTGAAAGGGCTCACACAGGTTGGGAGAGACGCAGCAGCTGAAGAAGGAACCAGCAGGGGGAGAGGAGCTGAGCTGGAGGGATGGCTCAGAGACACTTCCAGCGAAAACAGTGGGGAGGTTTCAGAACCTCCTGTAAGAACACCCACTCCTCGCCGGAAACTGTCACGCAGAGATTCCAGAAGACGTGTTTCCGTTAAGGAGCTTTTATGTTGGAAGCGATTACGAAAGCAACCACTGTCGGAATCTGCTAGTGACTAGAGCAGCCATGTCTGAGGGGCTCCGTCACAGACAGAGGTTTGTGGACTTGAACAAACTCTGAGGGAATACGATTTTACGCACACGCAGCTCATCATCCCATCACACAACCTTTTAAACATCTTGGTTGAGTTCCTCAAATCCCTCCCTTCTGAGTCTCCTTGTAATTAAAGGTAACAGCTTTCCAATATCATTATTAAACTAAAACAATTTCCAATTATAGTCCATCTTATTCACTTTTCTTAACATTCTAAATCCCACTTATTTAATTATAACTTAGTTTAATCCTAGGCCTATTTGTGTCTTTCAAGTAATTTCTAATTTTTTATATTACAATATTTATTCAAATAGTCCTTAAATTTCCTCCAGTCCTCTTGAAACTCCTCTTCTTTCTGGTCGTGGATTCTTCCAGTCAGGTCAGCTAGCTCGAAAAGTCCATCATCTTCATCTGCCAATCTTCCACTGTTGGTAGTTCTTGTGTTTTCCAATTTTTAGCAAGTAATATTCGTGCGGCTGTTGTGGCATACAAAAATAATTTAACATGAAGGGGTTTTCTTAGAATGGTGGAGGGTGGGTGTGCTGTGCTGTGCCCCGTTGGTGAAGTGATGTTGGCACTTGCCCTTCTTCTGATAGGAAATGCTCTGCAGGGTGGGGGACAAAAATGGAGGTTCAATGAGGGTAAGTTGAGGAGGAGGGAGAAATGTCCTTATTTTCATCTGAGGAATGTTGGAGGGTATGGAAAACTGAAACCCAACAATTGGGTCATCAAGTGTGGAAACTACTGCTGACTCTTACAGCCTTTCAATAGTCCCTTTGCTCCTTTAATTTCCATATTTAGAAGCATAGTAGGCTTCAGAATCTCATGACTCCAAATAAAAGATCAACATCTATAAACTATGTAAGCTAAAGCTCTGGAAAGGGAAAGCAAAAGAGGTTAAGGATTCACCTTCTTATAGTCAGACAAAACATTTGCATTCCACTTAAATTCCCCTAGCCCAAAGGCTGTTTTCACTTCGATTAGGCATACATATTGCTTCCCAGTGCCTCACAACTCAATCTTATGCCTATTTACTTAGAAATATATATTTCAGGGATTATTCCTGAGTAAGCTTTGTACGAGTGCTTTTTATAGGGTTGGTTTTTTTGGTGGTGGGAAATAATATTAATTAATTAAATTTATATAACACCCTATACCCACAGGTCTCATGAAGGTTCACGGGATATTAAACTCCAAGGGTCACTTTTAATGTGCAAAACTGAACTTACACACCATATATTTAAAGCACACCCCTCAATAACTGTAGTTTGTTAAGGGTGCTTGGGGTTGTATCTCTTTAAGTGGTAAACTACAGCTCCCACGATTCTCTGTGGTGGGAGGTGTGTTTTAACCATATGCTGTATACACAGCCACTTTTAAACTTTCATATAAGTTAAACTACATGATAAAGCAATAATGTAATAATTTTATTTTAAGAACCAATGTCGTTTCAGGTGCATCTAGAGGCAGTGACAATATTGCAAAGTGGTTGTTCAAATCTCACAGGCAGGGAAAAGGCAACAGGGCTTTTAAACTGGATTTACCCTAGAAAGGCTAAAAAGGTAAAGGTAAAGGGACCCCTGACCATTAGGTCCAGTCGTGACCGACTCTGGGGTTGCGGCGCTCATCTCGCTTTATTGGCCAAGGGAGCCGGCGTACAGCTTCCGGGTCATGTGGCCAGCATGACTAAGCCACTTCTGGCGAACCAGAGCAGCGCACGGAAACGCCGTTTATCTTCCCGCCAGAGCAGTGCCTATGTATCTACTTGCAATTTGATGTGCTTTCGAACTGCTAGGTTGGCAGGAGCAGGGACCAAACAACGGGAGCTCACCCTGTCGCGGGGATTCAAACCGCTGACCTTCTGATCGGCAAGTCCTAGGCTCTGTGGTTTAACCCACAGCGCCACCCATGTCCCTTCCTAGAAAGGCTAAATGTGGAATTAACGGGATGGGAGATATGAGCTGGTGCTTTGATGACAATGGCACAATGTGTGACTGCAGAGCAAAAATTGCATGCATGAGAGGCATCTATCCCACGATAAACGCCCAACCATTTAACACTTACATTTTACAAGGACCTTCTCCATTCATTGGAGAACAATTGGACCTGTCCTATCCTCTGAGTACTTTTCCAATAGACGTGGGTCTTTCCACATTTATAATTTATAATGGAATATTTGCTGGTGGGTGGTTTTTTCGGGGGGGGGGCATATTTCTATGTTACACTGTTGTCATTCAGTACTGCGGGGGGGGGGGGGCACACTTTTTCTTCCACTACAAAAAATTCTAACTTTTGTACAAGATCTAGAATGGAGCGGCAATATTTTCAGTTTTGTGGCACATGTACAGGACCAATGTGCTCTTTGTGTGGAAGGGGCTCTGGTTTGTAGGCATGGTTTAGGAGACATCTGTGACAGGCCACTTTCCTCTAACTGATGTGAGCTGTCAGTTTGTGAGTTCAGATCAAAGGAGAGATATGGCAGGTAGAGATGATGTCAAAATACTGCCCATGACAGCCATCATTCGTTTCAGACAAAATTTCATCATGATAGCCAGGTTCCCCACAGTTCAGACAGACACATTGCGTGCCTTCTAATTTCCCACAAGGTCATAATTATGGAACATAGGGACGCGGGTGGCACTGTGGGTTAAACCACAGAGCCTAGGACTTGCCGATCAGAAGGTCAGCGGTTTTTTTTTTGTTTTTTTTATAATATTTTTTATTGCATTTTTCCAGATAGAAATACAAGGTCAGATATACAAAGAAATAACAGAAAAGAGAAAGAAAAAGAAGAAAATCATCTTTTCAAAACATTTTTCCATAACCAACCGGACTTCCCCGTCCCCCTCACCTTGCGTTCTTTACAATAAAATTTTTCAGCAAATTATAACCTTATTTCGTGCATTCTTTTGTTCTTTCAAATACTTGTGATTTGCGTTTAAAATGCTTATTGTCAATTTACACTAATAATATATATAATGTTCTTTTAAACGTTAGTCCTTTCATTAATATAGCTTAGTTTCCCATACCTTAATCTTATTGCTGGAGCTGAATTTCCCTAATCATGCGAATTCTTAACATTCATATAACTTATAAAATTTTTGTAAATAATCTTTAAATTTTTTCCAATCCTCCTCCATTGCTTCTTCCTCCAAATCTCGGATCCTGGCAGTCATCTCGGCCAATTCCATGTAACCCATCAATTGCGTCTGCCACTCTTCCAGTGTGGGTAAATCTTGAGTCTTCCAGTATTTTGCGATAAGAATTCTTGCTGCTGTAGTTGCATACATAAAAAGGTTCTATCCTTCTTTAACACCTTCTGACCGACAATGCCCAGTAGGAAGGCCTCTGGTTTCTTGGGAAAAGTGTACTTAAACACTTTTTTTAACTCGTTATAGATCATTTCCCAGAAGGCCTTCACTTTTGGGCAAGTCCACCAGAGGTGAAAGAATGTCCCTTCAGCCTCCTTACATTTCCAACATTTATTATCAGACAAATGATATATCTTAGCAAGCTTGACTGGGGTCATGTACCACCTATATATCATTTTCATAATATTCTCTTTCAAGGCATTACATGCCGTGAATTTCATACCAGTGGTCCATAACCTTTCCCAGTCTTCAAACATAATGTTGTACCCAATGTCCTGAGCCCATTTTATCATGGCTGATTTGACTGTCTCATCCTGAGTGTTCCATTTAAGCAGCAAGATATACATTCTCGAAAGTACCTTAGTCTTTGGTTCCAACAATTCTGTCTCTAGTTTCGATTTTTCCACCTGGAAACCTGTTCTTTTGTCCAGCTTAAAAACCTCTTGAATTTGAGCATAGTGAAGCCAATTTTGCACCTTATTCTTTAATTTTTCATAACTCTGCAGCCTCCAAGTTTCTCCTACTTTTCTATAATTTCCCCATATTTCAGCCAACCAACCTCCATATTAGGTTTTTCCGGGCCTTGGCCTCTGCTGGTGAAAGCCACCTCGGAGTCTTACCCTCTAATAAGTCCTTGTATTTTGTCCAGACCATAAATATTGATTTTCTAACAATATGATTTTTGAACATTTTATGAACCTTTACCTTGTCGTACCACAAATATGCATGCCAACCAAAAGCATTATCAAACCCTTCCAGATCTAGAACATCAGTGTTCTCAAGAAGTAACCAATCTTTCATCCAGCAGAAGGCCGCAGCTTCATAATATAATCTCAGGTCCGGCAGGGCAAACCCCCCTCTTTCTTTCAAATCAGTTAGTATTTTAAACTTTATCCGGGGCTTTTGCCCTGCCAGACAAACTTGGATATATCCTTCTGCCACTTTCCAAAACATTCCACTCTGTCCACAATCTGTAGGGTTTGAAACAAAAATAACATTTTCGGCAATACATTCATTTTTATAGCAGCAATTCGACCTAACAAGGAAAGTTTCAATCTTGACCAGATTTCCAAATCTTTTTTGATTTCCAGCCAACATTTTTCATAGTTGTCTTTAAATAGATTCAAATTTTTCGCTGACAAGTGAACCCCTAGGTATTTCACTTTTTTTTACCACACTTAGTTCTGTTTCCTTCTGAAACCCATCTATTTCTGAGGGTGTCAAGTTTTTCCCCAAAACCTTAGTTTTTTTGCTTATTCAACTTAAATCCCGCCACCCGACCAAACTCATGAATCAATTCTAATACTCTTTTTGTACTAGATTCTGGCTCCTGTAGTGTTAAAACCAAATCATCTGCAAAAGCTTTCAATTTATATTGTTTCGCTCCGACCTGTATTCCTTGTATCAACCGGTCCTTCCTAATCATGTTCAGTAACACCTCCAGGACTGAAATAAATAAAAGGGGGGATAGGGGCACCCTTGTCGTGTCCCTTTTTCAATTTTGAACTCATCTGTCACCACATTGTTTACTATCAGTTTAGCTTTTTGCTCAGAATAAATTGCTTCTATTCCATTTTCAAACCCCGTCCCACTCCCATCCCTTCCAGGTTTCTCTTCATAAACATCCAAGAAATATTATCAAAGGCCTTCTCCGCGTCGATGAAAATTAACACAGCTTTCGTATTGATATTAGTTTGTAAAAGTTCCAAAATATCAATAATGTTCCTGGTATTATCAGAAAGATGTCTCCCTGGGAGAAAGCCTGCCTGGTCCTTATGAATTACTTCGTTAAGTATTTTTTAAGTCTGCTCGCCAAAATATCAGCAAAAATTTTGTAATCCACATTTAGGAGTGAGATGGGACGGTAGTTCTTAAGCTGAGTCTTTTCAGATTCCAATTTAGGAATCAATGTGATGAAAGCTTCTTTCCACGTTTCCGGTGCCCTCCTCCCCTCCATAATCTGGTTACAAACCTCCATTAGTGGTTGTATCAAATAGTCTTTTAGTGTCTTATAGTACTTGGAGGTAAGTCCATCTGGGCCTGGAGATTTGCCTAGTTGCATATTCTGAATGGCACCCTCTATTTCCTGTCGTGTTATTCTATTATTTAAGATTGTCCTCTTCTCCTGAGATAGTTTGGATAAACCGTTAACTTTTAAAAATTGATCTATCTCAGACGCTTCCTGAGGCCCTTGTGTATAAAGTTTTTGAAATATTTCTGGAAACACTTTCTAATTTCTTCTGGTTTCTGAATGTTTCTCCTTCCACCTCTAGATTAGTGACAAAGTTCAATTTTTGTCTCTTTTTCAACTGCCATGCTAGCAGTTTTCCACATTTATTTGCCGATTCAAATGATCTTTGTTTCATTTGTTTGATTTTCCATTCCACTTCTTGATTTATCAATTTCGCATATTGAGCTTGGTGGAATTTGATTTCTCTTAAAACCTCTTTTGATTTTGGTTTTAATCTCAATTTTTCTCTCCTTCTCTTATCTTCTCTAATATCCTATCTTTTTTCCCATTCCAAAGTTTTTTCTTGATTGTGTTCTGTTGTATCAGAAACCCCTCATTACAGCTTTACTTGCGTCCCAGATTGTTCTCTTTTCCACCGAAGTGTTCAAATTGATTTCAAAATAGTCCTTTAAAGTTTTTTGGGCCTTCTTCACAATCTCCTGATCTCTTAGTAGGGTGTCATTCATTTTCCATCTGAAAGAACCGGTTGGAGTAAGTCTCAATTCCACTTTCAAAGCATTATGGTCGGAGCAAGTCTTTGGACAGATTTCCACTTTTCTGATCTTAGGTGCCAGTCCTCTAGTTGTCCATATTTGGTCGATTCTTGTCCATGATAGGTGGGCCTCAGAAAAAATGTTCCTTCTTTACCTAAGGGGTTCCTTGTCCTCCAAATATCAATCAAGTCCATGTTATCAGTTAGTTCAAAGAAGGTTTTAGGTAGTCTGCCGTCTTTAGTTAAATTTTGATTTTGTGACTTATCCATGTGAGTAGAGACCACCCCATTCATATCGCCCATCATTATGATGTTGGTATAGTCCAGATAGTCCAGCATTATCTCATGCAGCTTCTTGTAAAATTCCGATTTCCCCTCATTTGGTGCATATATTCCTAAAATCAAAAACTTTTCTCCTTGTGTTTGTATCTCAATTGCCAAAATTCTTCCTTGCTCATCTTTAAACAGAAATTTCGGTGACAGGTTCTCCTTTGCATAAATCACTACGCCTCTTTTCTTGACTTTGTCTGATGAAATAAATTCTTGGCCTAGTCTTTTGTTGATTAACACTTTCCTATGGAGCCTAGTCACATGCGTTTCCTGCAAGCAAACAATATCCAATTGTTCTTTTTCAAAATATGAAAAATCCTTCGTCTTTTTCCGGGAACTCCCCGCCATTTATATTCCAACTGTACAGCTGCAGAGACATTCTGAATCAATCTGTTGTTCCTATAGTGGGGTGTCTTCCTTTTCTTCTGGCCCCGAGGGTGTAGGTATCGGTGCTTTTCCAGGCAGTGGCGGTGGCCAAGAGGCTGCTGCTCCTTCTGAAGGTCTTCTCCGTGGTCGTGCAGGAACTTCTGGTTATCTTCTGATGTTTTAATCTTAATTTTCTTTCCTTTAAAATTAAAAGATAAACCTTGGGGAAACTCCCACCTATATGGAATCGCGTTTCCTCTCAGTAGTCTTGCTAGGTCTGTATATGTGGCTCTGAGATCCAAAAGTTGTTTAGGAATATCTCTATAAAATTCTGCTCTTTTGCCTTGGATATCAAGTGATTTCTTAAAGTGAAGGCCTAGTATTTTATCTCTCTCCTGCTTGGATCTCAAAATAATCAAACAGTCTCTGGGCTTGTCCCTCCTCACGACTCTTCCTAATCTGAACGCAGTTGTGATCTTAAAATCTTTGTCCTCTTCTATACCCCAGAACTTGGAAAATTCTGCTGTCAGATAACCAATTAAATCTTCCTGTTCAAGCTCTGGGATAGCTCTTAATCTCAGATTGTTTTCCCGGTTTCTCAATTCCACCATAGACAGGTAAGCCTGCTGATCACTAATGTGCTTGTGTAGTGGCCTTACCTCCCTTTTATAGCCTCAACTTTTTGATTTGCTTGTTCTGCTTTTTCATTGGCTGCTTCAGCCAGTCTCCGATTTTCCACAGTTGCTTCCTTGAGATTCCCAATAACTTGTGTATGTTGTGCAACTTGGTCAGACAATTTAGTAATAGAGGATGTGGCTTGATCTATTTTTGCCGATTGGTCATCCACCTTCTTGTTCAATATTGCAAATTGTTCTAACATTTGTTGTAAGAAGGTATCTGATCCTCCCTCTGCCATATCCTCTGATGCCGGCTGTGCAGTTTCTTTTTCTTGTACTCCCAAAACAGCTGGGACAGATGATCTACGTGACTGAGTAGTCAAAGTTGTTTGCACAAGTTGGGCTTGTCTTGCTTTCGTTTCGCAGATCTTGTTTTCGGTTGGCCACTCATTCCACACCTGTCTATGAGTCAAGGTCAAGCTGTATATTGTCCCATGGGAAGGACAGTTCCAAAGTGTAAATAACAGAGCAGCAGATAGTCCAAATAAAATTTGTTCCCAGGCACTTGTAATTCCAAAACTCCACTAGGGGAGTATTACTGTAGTTCATAGAAAGGAAAGAACTTTATCCGCCATTAAAGTCCCTGCAGCCTCAAAACAGTCTAATTTACCAAAAGTTCTTCATAAACTTTTTAGCTTACAGAGCACTTCCCAAGCTGCCACAAAGTCTCAGATAAAAGGTGCCAGTAACAGTTTATTTAATTGTATCTTGCCAGTATCACTCAACTATAACAGTCTCTATTTTGGATACAGTTTCCGCAATGACAGCTCTCTTTTTTCCTGTCAGTCCGAGGTTTGGTTCTTAATTCTTTGTAATCCATAAAGGGGAGGAAAGTCCCATTTAAAGTCCAAAACACTTAGAAATAAAAATCTTTTCTCCTTCTTTTTAAAAGCCAATTCTATCAACACGATAGTCCCAAATTTATAATCTTTTAAAGCTGCTTCCCGCTTGTTAAAATCTTTGCCTTTGATCTTTAAAGCACTGCCGGAAGACGGACTTCCTGTTTATCGTCTCCCGCTTTCAGCCAAATTTAACACTTTTAGTCCCAAAATGATTGATCCTTACTCACGAGTAGGTAGTTTAGAGCCTGATGTTCCAAGAAGAAAGGTCGGCGCTCATCAGCAGCAGCCGCGCGGCTTCGCTCCCGCAGAAAGAGCGATGAACTCACAGCACCGCCCCCCCTCCACGTTTCCGGAGCCCCTTACGGGGTTCCTTCTTCGTTTTTGGGGTCGCTCCTGGTGCCCGCCGAGTCCCACGGCCACGGGCTCACTCTGCCCGTGGTTTTTCTTAATGGGTCACCGCTGTGCCGCAGCGGACGACCCTTTTCTGCGGAGCCCCTCTTCAGAGACCGAAGAGGACCGCCATTGCCGTTTCGCGCCGCCTCCAGGAAGCCAGAAGGTCAGCGGTTTGAATCCCCACGACGAGGTGAGCTCCCGTTGCTTGGTCCCTGCTCCTGCCAACCTAGCAGTTCAAAAGCACATCAAAGTGCAAGTAGATAAATAGGTACCGCTCTGGCGGGAAGGTAAACGGCGTTTCTGTGCGCTGCTCTGGTCCGCCAGAAGC